TATATATATGCGTGTGTGCGTGTGTGTGTGTGTGAGTGTGTGTGCGCGTGTGTGTGAGTGTGTGCATGTGCGTGTGTGTGTGATTGTGTGTATGTGCGTGTGTGTGTGATTGTGTGTATGTGCGTGTGTGTGTGTGTATGTGTGTGTGTGTGTATGTGTGTATATTTTCTTCCCTGCAATAACTGAATAGTAATAATTTGTACCTTTCGAACGGAGACCAAGGTATTAAAGTACATATGAAGATGGAGGCATCACTGCTGGTGGTTACGGCCCGCATGGTGTTCACGATTTCCGTTTCCTGATCGTGTGAATGTTAAATACTTAAGAAATTCGGAAGCGCCAATATTGAAGTGTAAATCAAATGGATTTTATGATTTGATAATTCAATACGCTTAGTCCCCAATCGAAGTGAATCAATAGTATATGTAGTAAATCTATTAATCAACGCTTGCAACTCATGTGACACCAACAGGATACAATATTCGCACCACAACCGTGCCGCACACTATCCACCACACTCCAGGTCCCTGCACATGGCATACATAGCTACAATGAAAAATGAAAGTTCAACTTACTGCTGAACATATCACTCGTACCTTGTCCGGAAACATAACTAGCAATTTGTGAAGGCATGCAACCAACTCAGGGAGCACGGGATGTGTTTTTCGATCCATAGAGGCTCGTAACAGCAGCTTCAATATGTCTAAGCTATCGGACGACGAGATTGCTGTATCCCTACAGATATAAAGACAAACGGACGATGTTTCAAACTCGAACACAACATAATTAGAGGTAACCCCCCGGACGATTGCGAGACTTCAAATCCAGATAGAATATAAAGGAAAAGTGGGCAAATACCCAATTGTAAAGCTTGTCTGAAAAATTACTGGGCTGTTCCACAGCTGTTGCAAAATTGGCAAGTGTGATGCTTTGCTAACATGTAATTGCACTGTGCTGTCTCATCACCATCCCCTCTCACTACACAAACTCGATATTCGACGGTGATTGCTGACGATAACTCACCTCTGTGACAAGATTGCGGAAAGCACCTCCATAAAGTGCTTGAAATTCGAAATGGGAAAATCGCTCTTGGACACCCGGCCGTCAGCTTCGTTGGCTGAACCCTCTCCAGGTTCCTTGTCTTGTACAGTGCTAGGTGTACTAGTAGTACCCATTCCGAAGACTGCAAAGCACTCACGTACCAGCGTAAGTATTGAGAGCTTACCGGCTAGGTTATCCTATAGATACCAAGCGGCACGAGAACAAACAAATGAACGGAACTTGAGGGCTGATCGGTATTAAAATACACATGGAGTAAAACTGTGCCAAAATCATTTTCCGGCCGAGATTTATGCATGCGCAACAACTATAAATTCATCAACTGCAGCTGTACAATTTCAGAAATACCTTGAATGTAACAAGCACCTCACACACAGCTTGAGTGCCGCATGCAGCGATGACGCCGTCAGTCGCCCGGGCCACTGCAAAAGTACAGAAATTGAAAATGTGTCTACATGAGACATAGTATGTAACTATAGACAACAGATATGACAATCAAGAAGTTACAAGGACCCCCAGTACAACTCCATCTGCAGGTTGGTCGGGACAGGCTGAAGACGAGTAAGAGAAAGCGACAACGAAGCCTTATTGCCAGGAAATATAATGATAAGTAGCAGCATATTACACGAGATACACGCGGAGTGTGAAACGCACTGCAGGCGCACATACCTACACCCACTAGCCATCGAGCCAGGTACACACACGACAATGTATCCATCCGTCCGCACTGCGATCTGAAGTCATAGGCAGACAGAACAATCCCGATGCTCTCCCAGTCTGCGAGAAGCGACAGATAACTAGCAATTGAGGAGGCAGTATCAAGGCACTATTTTAACCTGAACTAGGCCGATCGAAAGTCGTAGTAGAAAAAAAACGTGATATAGTACGATCTGAGAGCACGCCTACCTTTACAAATTGACAGAAAATTGATGATGGGACTGTTAACATGGTCCTCGAGAAGCTTCAGCTCTGGAGGTACACCATACTACGATGCAAAATCGAGGAAGGAAACAAGATGATTAGTACATAACAATGGAACCAGTCAAGTGTTCTCGGAAAGTGCAACCCCTTAACCAAGCTTGCAATATTCGTTATGAACCTGGCTTGAATCATACTTGTAACTGTCTGATGCACTACGTGCAAAGCGCGCACAAAGATCATTCGAGTAAACCTAATGATGGACGTGTGCACAAAGTTCTGTTGAAGATCTCAGTGTATACCTGTGGTGATGGTGACTGCGGAAAAAAACTCTCGCCCTCCCATTCCCTATCTTCTAGCGCACCCGCATTCATATCCAGTGCCTGACAATAAAATAAAATGCTGTTGAGAGGAATACATCTTAACTGAGAGTACTCTCATACGGAATGGTGGTACAAACGTTAGTGAGTAAGATACCTCACATACGCAAGGAGTACAAAACAACTCGTGATAGATTCAACGAACGTATACCTTCCTGTACCGAACATATAATAGTACCAGCAGGAAAGTTTGTTCTTGATTTAGTGCAACGAAAATTCCACTTTCCGTTACGCTTCCCAGAAAGCCGCCAAAATCACATGCAGCAAATTCAGGCAATTCACACACGAGCACGCAACACTAGCGCCTGAGCACGAATGTTTGCCTGTACCTGCTTGATCACCGTATTCGTCGTCGCGTCCTTCCCCGAGTTCTGGCCCAATGTCTCGTATACTGCCGCAGTGTTTGTGGCTTGGTCCTCGTTATCCACCTGCTCTGCAAACTCGTCAAAATTAAAACTTGTGCGCGACGTTTCGTCTACATTAAAATCCGCCATCGTCGCGTTTCTCCGCCATTTCTGGGCTTCAAGCAAGTGGTCGATGGAGATGCGTGACTTGCGTTTTGCCCTTTTGTCATGTGCGTTGGATAGGGGCGCTCTGTTGGTGAGTGGTTTGATCTGGGGATGGTCCCGACTTCGCAACGTACGACGGCCTGTCAATGTATAGAAGTGATTCCGGTAAGTCCTATTAAGGATTGACAAGCAATTAATCAAGAAGATGCTGGCACTGTATCAGGTGTCAAGTGCTATTGTATCACAACAGAACAGGTATGATAGAGCAATCGTATGGTTTGCCCTAATGCTATACACGGTCGACATATACTTGATGAGCTTCGTGGGGTCGGAGTCAGGTGGGGGGGGTATACTTTAAAATCAATAGGCTGACAGGTTGTATCTGTTACAAACGCGAGAAAAATGTGTGATATAGCCGTGATATGCGCAGTGTGTGAAGATAGATACCGCTATTGTGGGACATCAGTCCTGTATAGTATGGCATCCGCGCCGAGCATGACTGAACCTTGGGTGTAAACTAAGCTTGCCGAACATCTAGTGGTGCCGACGCAACCCATCAATCTAGCTATACATTAATACTACTCAAATAGAAAGCATACAATTCTCGTACATATATTCCCAAATAGCTTACCCGTAGTATAAGCCCCCGCGCCACTCACCGACAGACCACCATCACCCGTCGTAGAGGTACCCGTACTCACATCCGGATTGTCACTACCCATTCCCATGCGCTCCAGCTCCTCTTTGCTCAGATAGCTGGGTTTACTCAGAGACACATTCAGGAAATCATCATCACTATCGTCTTCACTGTTGTCGCTCTCGGTTGCGTGTGCTACCTCAAGGTCTGCTAGACGACTCAGGCTGAGCATAGCAGCAGCCATTGAGTCGCTTGCGACCGTGGTACTATCATCTGTGCCTGTCTTGGGGTCAGCCTTCTTACTAAGTGTCGGGTCGCTCTCTGTACTATCGATGTTCATGATATCAGGTGCAGGTACAGGCTGAGCGACTGGGGTAGGGTTCGAATGCGTATGTTCCTCGACTATGCTCTGGACGGTCGTATGTGACCTGGCTGTAGGTATAGGGCTATGGATCCCTGACTCCACACCTTTGCTTCCAGACTCCGCTTGGGATTCATTTATATATGCAACACTTTCCTTTTGCGCGAGGTCATCTACTTGTGTACTACTTGTAGTTCTCATTCTCTTCTTAGAAACTTGTAAAACAGAATCTTTCTCAACGCCTTCGGCATCATCAGCGATATTCGTCATCTCGATTTTATCAGATATCACCGTTTCATCAAATGCCGACAACACAGATACGTCAGTACTGCTATGATCCCCCAACGCATCAGACAGCCTCTCGTCAGCGCTCACATAGTCGCTCTCGGCTACGCTCTCGCCATTCACACTTGCATTGAGCATAGCGCTATCTTCCGCAGAATCGATGAGATCGCCTACGAGTTCGTCTGGTTCCACCAGGTTCAGCAGTGCACCCATAGAGGCTGATTTCCTCGCCATTTCTTTGGCTAGTGTACCCTTGTTATCACCTTTAGTTTTAGTACTGCTTAATTTGTTATTCACTCCCTGCTTCGCTTGACTAGATTTCGGTGACACTTCCGATGTGCTCGAGCTTATATTTGCTGTCACGCGCTCGGGCCTAGCTGCTTGGTCATACAGTGTCTTCCCATCAGTACCCTCAATGGTACGTCCCTTGACATTCCCACCAGTACTCTCATCCTCACAGTCGCTGACCACTCCCTTCATCGCACTTTTAGCACTCGATTCCTTATCCACGCCTTCTGATGTCACCGCACTGGAACTACCATTAGCCCCCTTGTCCGCGTTCTCAGCGTTCGACTGCACTTTATTGTTAGAGCGCGATCGTTTACACTGCCGCGTACGGGATGTATTCCGCGTGCGTAAGCGCGCGCGTGTATTTGCTATATCCAAGCTCTCCTCCAACTTGAGCTCGCCCTCTAATTGAGTATCTCCCAGAGAGATATCCTGACTCTTCTCAACTGTGTCCGTAATTGGTACCGAACTTTCTTCGGGGGCGACCTCAACTCCAGCGTCCACATCAACGAACTCCTTCTCACTGTTGTCCACACACTTCTTACTTCGCTTCACGGCTCGTGTCGATCGCCTGCCCACTTGAGCAGGAGGCACAAATTCGCTCGGTGTGGCGTACATGCTAGTACGTGACAACCCATAACGTGTACGCAACCCCTCTTGTTGTTGCGTACTCTTGGATGTAGACACAGATCGCCGTTCCATATCATGAGTATCCAGTGCATTGTCTTTTCCAGTTGCGGGTGTAGATGTGTTTAAAGCCACAGAGTATGATAAACTCCGAGCAGCCGTTGGTGTGGGTGATTCGGTGGATATAGCTGTGCGAGTGCGGCAACGGGGGACTTTAAGGCTAGACGTTCCCTTAGCTTGAGTGTCGACTCCCTGTGCGAGATATGTTAAGAAATAGAAGCATCCAAAATGGAAGAGTTGAGCATCATCCTTGAGCAACATACGAGACGAGCGAACCATCCAACCCACCTATACACCTGTCGATTCGTGAGCGTACACTATCCTGCTTACAAATTGATATTTGGTTCAAGTACGTCTGTATATGTTCAGTAGGCATAGCTACATAATAAGTGGGTCAAAAAATCAAGCATTGATCTGCTTTGCACTATCTACTCGACGCATAGCTCTCAGACCCAAAGCACATAACACCACCGTGCACATACTCTCGCGAAATTCTCTTTAGCATAATGGATACACAATCATCTACCAGACATAAACAGAGACAACATACAGCCACAGGTGTGCGCGTGGGATTATTGGCCTTTAACCGAGGCGAATGCCTGGTAGCAGTACCCTCCATCAGCACAGGAGTGACGTTATTCTCCTTCAACGTCGAGGGGCATAGGTTCTCTTTTTGATCGTTGTTGTTGTCGTTGCTGTTATCGTCGTCTATGCAGATAAAGTTCACAGGCGCACGTTTCTGCGATGCTTTCAGCGCTGTTGATACCTTAGATTTGTGTATGTGTGAACCTGATATACATGTCTGTCTGCTCTTGTACATGCTTGCATTCTTATCAGCTCGATCTGGCGTGACTATGGAAGGCGAAGGGGTGTCGGCCTTTGCGAAGTAATCTGTCATCTTCCGCACGCTGAGAAGAAGCAAGTTGAATGGATCAGTTACATGCGTGTGATTTGTAAAATCGAACTCACGAATGTGTGGGAAAAGGTGCGCGAGTGAATCCTCTTAAAGTATGTGCTTTCGTAAGTTTTAGTATAGCTATAAGCCTACAGAGTGGTATAGAGTTACGTGTAAGGCATTTGTGAACAGATTGCATGTGATTTATTGTCGGCCTCGCTGAGAGCTTATTTTTAATATATATATATATATATGTGTGTGTGTGTGTGTGTGTGTGTGTGTGTGTGTGTGTGTGTGTGTGTGTGTGTGTGTGTGTGTGTGTGTGTGTGTGTGTG